TATTATAAGTTTATTTATTTATTTTAACTTCAGTCCGACATTTTGAGTTCCCCCAGAAAAAAGAGAAAACTGGGGGGAAAAAAAAGGAAAGTTTTTGTCTCGGGGGAAAATATTTTCAACAACGGGCCATAGGTAAAATAATTTCGCGTTTTAAACAGTTAAAAGTGTTTCATTAAAATGTGTACTACTCGCTTAAGCTACAGCTATTACTTGGAATATAACTTTTATAAATATCTACAAACACTTTGGATTGTATATTTAAAACGCTAAATATATTGCACCTATTTTTATTTCAAACAGCAGTTGTGTTCTTGGTAACTAAAGATGACTGGTGGCTGTGTGTGACTGTGAAAATGGAAACTTGCAATACTAGAGCCATCTGCAAACTACGAGGGCAACAGTTGGCATTAGTCCTAGCTTAAAATAAATCATTAGTGTGTTACAAACTAAAGACCTAGGACTTAACTTATAGATCACTTGTTTCAATTATTTTTCGCTATATGAGATAGCATGTAGTGAATATCTATTAAAACCACTCTAAGCAACTTCTCCTTGATTAATCCTCTACTACCGAGCTCCTCACATAAGCAAGCGCCTTGACTTTCTCATATAAACTCGGGCGTAATTAGATTCTGCGACAAAAAGTGAGAAGTGAGAAATAGAAGAAAATGTTTTCTAATAGATAGATAACGATAAACCATATGTATATACCAAACTATTAAGGTTTTAATATCCTACGCTTTTCAGCCTAAAATAAAATATGAAATTTTAGTATTTACACTTGAATCATATTATTTTTCATATAATGATTGACGGCATTGATTTAGTAATAGCATCGATCAATAAAGGTATATAAATAAGGCATACGGTGACAATTATAATGTGTTAAAAAACTAGGGAGAATATGCAGCAACTACAAATTTACGTTAGGCATTAAACTCAATTACTCCAGACTTTTCTCTGTCCGTGTATTTTGTACTCGACGTGAGGTGCATTAAGCAATAACAAAGAATTTCCCCAGTTAAGATGAAAACATTTATTTTCACTAGATTCTGGGATATTTATTAGATATTGTGTAAGTTTAAAAAAGATCGCTCAATGGCTTTATTGATTCAAATGAGAAAATATCAAGAGTTTAACTAATACATCGCGTTTTAAACCGTTAAAGTGTTTTATTTAAATATCAAGAAGTCTCGAACTACTGAGTAAAAAGGTCGGACAAAACATTGTAAAGGGGACGGAGTCTGTCGTGGGTTTGATTCCCACTGGATCCGACATGTTTGTAAAAACATGGAAATTTAGATATTTGATGCGTGGTAGAAATAATAAAATCAAATTGTGAATTTCCAAAGCCATATCCAAAGCCAAAATAGGTCGACATCGTCTTACGGATTTATTTTATATACAGACATGTAGTTGATCAGACTTCTGTTTCCCAATCAAACAATTCGCCTATCGCCGTGGTTTGTACCGAGGTTTAAATCACGATAGCAATAATCACCTAATCTAAAACAATGCCAGTTAGGTCTAAAAATAACATACTACAACAAGTCTTTCGTCACCAAGCACTTGGAAATGTAATTTGTTATACTATATAAGTGCTTAGTCTTAAAAACAAAGTCCTGTTACTATATATAATAAAACAACTAAGGTTCTCTTCACCCTATTACCTTCTAAGGTAAAGGAAAATACTTAAATTGTGTTATGTAATCGAGAATATAGGGAAAAAACAAACCAAGATTAAGTTTAGGCTGAGGTGATTATTGAAAACAATTTGTAGGAAGATTATTTATTTATTTCCTTATCGTTTCTAGTTATGTAGTACTAAGCTAGCATGTGAAATTAATATGATTTAATTTAATATTCTACCATGAGGCATATAAGATATGCCTCCAATCAATATCATTTAACGTTTCCAGGATCTAATTTATAAATTTACCTTCTAATAACTGCTAAAAGCCCGTGAGGTAATTGAAGCAAACTTCGACAGTAAAATGTGTAGAAGTTTTTATGCGTTACGAATAATTATTGTTCGAGGTTCATAAAAAGTGACTCCTCTCTAAAAGAAATCACCATACATTCAGGAAGCGGTAAACTCGTTTCCATAATAATATATCAGATCCATACTATATTTGTACGAGTTTCTTTATTGAGTTTGGAAAATATAGTTATAAGTTTGAAATGAATTGAAAATAACGTTTTTTTAAGCCTAGCCTATATGGATTTGATTGTAGAAATTGCGTTTTTTTTCGTTACGAAGATATTTCGCAGTAAAAAGAACAAGCTTGATTTTTAAGCTTGAATTACTATTTTTAGACATTATGAAGCTATAATTGAAAATAAAGCATTATTGTGAAATTAAGTATTAAGAAATTAAGTTGGGAATACACCGACTTTATTCCTTCCTGATCAGGATTGCTGTAAATCATTGATTGTTTTAGTTCGTTTTCGCCTATTTTGAGACGTTGTGTTGATATTAAACTACCCCATTATTTTTCTTGATCCGTAAACGAAAAGATAGCAGAAATCAGTTTCCCGGAAGTTGCGTATTGCCGGTATTATATTGTCGTATCAATGGTCTTGCAACAAAGGGCGGGAAACTGGAGCCATTGTCAAATGTCAAATTATAACATGGCGCTTTGATAAAGTGTTGGTTATCTACCTCCCAGTTTCAAACTTAAGTACCTATTAATTAAGTAATAGAAATACGATCGTTAACTTATACATATATCAATTACCTTTGAAGAATATGACGGTTGTTATAGTTGTTCAACTTACAGTTTCGTAAAATCGTACTTTAAACTTGACGTTTGTTAACTGACACAGATTAAAATTATTACCTAGTCACTCATCCCTACAACTTGAAATAAACTTTTGATCAATGTATTACGGTAATGTATAACGATATAAAAAGGGATATGGTGGAATGAATTATTTACATAGGCCAGAATAAAGTAATTACCAAATATAAGCCCATAAAGTTCCAAGAGTATGGTGGTATATAAACATGATTAGAACCAGGGAGTCAAGATAAATATATTAGACATATTTACCTGTGTGTTGTTATTCTACTTAGACAACAAATAGCTCTATTCAGGAAACAACAGACATACAGTTACATAACAGAATAAGATTTCCATTTAGTTTATTGAAAATCCGGAAATGCAACCGATCATAATCTATTAATATAACTTGATTTAACCTATAATATTAAATATATCACCGATGCTTTAATTGCAAATGATGTCACTTTCACATTTTTTCTTCTCATTTGAAAATCATACTAAGTCAAATACAAAGATATAAAGCCGTTTGTAAAGTTATTTTAAGTCAAAGATAAAAATTTAAAATGCAAAAAAGCAAAATTCAAGAAACTTACAAAAGCAAAATATTTTTCTTTTGCTGTAGAAGTTTTTTCGTTCAAGCCTTTTAAAATCAAAGCAATAATACTTCATTTTATTTCTCTTAATTTTAAAATCTCTCGCCTTTAAAATGGTTTTTTTTTCTTTGTTATTGAACAGAGGTATTCTATATTTATAAAAAAAAGCTATCTAGAAGATTACATACAATTTAATAATAATTTTTAGACTAACCTCTATTGGTAATAATTTGCGATAAACCTCGATAAGTATTAATATAAATTATAAAAAAGCTTAATTACAAAAATGGTTATAACGTTCCAGTTTAACATTTAAAAAAAGCGTTGAAGTACATACATACCTACGCTCGCTCACTGTAAGCTCTACAATATCTAAGCGAATAATTTTGCCTTTAATTATATAACATAAAGTGAATGTAACACCAAAATATATAACCATTGTTAAATCCCGTATTTATAGATACTTTGCTACAAATAATTATTCACCAAAATACACCCCTATATCCCACATGGTCCCTTTGATTTTAATGAGATCAATAGAACATATTTGCTTTTCTTAGTATTTCACCTTGATTGTAACTAGAGATGCGCCGAGTAACAGTTTTGCCGAGTAACGAGTATCGAGTTTTACTCAGCTCATTTTTTTCAACCGAGTACCTGGGATGGAGATGGGAATTTCCAGCCAGCCAAATTCCCACCCAAATTCCCATTTTGCGCGCATTTAAACAAGTACAAACAGGTTCGCGCCGGTCAAGACGTCGATTCGCTTTAACCTCACCATGCCCACGTCTTTCAATAACTATTCAGTTTATTGTTTGCAAACGCGTTTACTATATTATTACTGACATTTTCAAAGATTTCCTAAATTAATAATAAATACTTTTGGATTAACACTATTATTTTAATTATAATTACCTAAATATTTTCGCTTTTCCTAAACAAAGTATAAGCGAGTTATTCGGCTGAGTATGAGTATCAAAAAACCACTGAGTATGCAGAGTACCGAGTATCAACCGAGTACTCGGCTTACCCCTAATTGTATCGATACACGGGGATGTCCCCGTGTATCGATTATCGTGTTAAAAACGTTTAGTAAAGGTAACATACATATGTCATTTTATTAATATCTATGGTATCACATATACATATTTACTACTTACTCGTTAATGTTTTTTAACAATTGCGTTATCTATATGTTTTTTGCTATTACTTAAAACATGTTATGTGTAGTATGCAACATCTTATACACGTACATATATTTTTCATTTCCTCTCAAGTTTCAAGAAGTCGTTAGTGCAAGTCAAGCACACTCGATTTTTACTTCGCCTAGAACTTGTTGTACAACATCGTATACCAAGATGCGAGGTCAAAAATAACCACTACTAAAATATTGAACTTCTAAATTTCTTGTTTTTAAAAGTCAGTTGGTGTACGATTTTTTTATAGCTTTATATTATAAATAAATGAAGACAAACTCCTAATGGAATCTAAAACATAAGTTTAACGGACTCAGGAAATAAAAAACCCCTTTTAAACGATGTATGACTAGTCCTTAATTGAATATTCATAAACTACACCTTTCTTATATTGCTGTCAAATCAAGTTCGCATTTTTTTTTCAGATGTCGATCATTGCGCACGCCAGGCAATATTCTTGTGGCCAATCTTGCGTTGAGTGACTTCATAATGCTGGCAAAGACACCTATTTTTATTTTTAACTCTTTCCACCTTGGTCCAGCTTTAGGCAAAACAGGTAATACTTTACTTAATATCATCAAGTATCATTTAAGAAAATATTATCACTATTTTTAGATAAAAAAATATTGGTTTCAGGTTGCGTATTCTATGGTTTTGTTGGTGGTCTCAGCGGAACGACATCCATAGCTACACTTACTGCCATCGCACTAGATCGCTATTGGGCAGTTGTCTATCCACTCCAACCCCTGCGAGCTTTGACTGCAATTCGAGCTAAACTTTTCGCGATTGGAGCTTGGATTTACGCAGTTATTTTCTCTATCATCCCCGCCCTAGACATCGGTTATGGACATTATGTGCCTGAGGGTTTCCTCACCAGCTGTAGCTTTGATTATTTAACAGATGAGCTATCACCACGCTATTTCATATTTGCCTTTTTTTGTGCGGCCTGGTTCATCCCTCTCTGCATCATATGCTTTTGCTACACCAGAATCCTTCGCATTGTCATTGGCTCCAGGAATATGAATAACAAAAATCAAGAGGAAAAAATGTCATCAAGACACGTCAAAGAACAAACAAAACGCAAAGCCGAAATAAAACTTGCAGGTCTGGTTATTGCTGTCATAGCCCTCTTCTTTATATCGTGGACACCATACGCAATTGTAACTCTTTTAGGTATTTTTGGAAAAAAAGACGTCATTACCCCCGGAGTGTCGATGATTCCGGCATTATTCTGCAAAACGGCTGCGTGCATCGATCCCTTTATTTATATTATAACACATCCCAAATTTCGCAAAGAGCTTCAAAAGTTGCTTTTTAGGGACAAATCACGAAGGATGACTGGGACGTTTAAAAGCGTAGCTTATTCAATGGAAGCCACTAAAGTGCACAGAAATAGTAAGGACCAAAGCGACACCGATGTAGAAGTTATTGAAATGAAGGACATTCCATATCATAATGAGGCTAATGGGAAGACGGTAAATACGGTATCGTCCAAGGTTGCAAAAAGACACGACTCACAAAAATCGGTTGGAAGTGTGAGCATGAAGAGTTATGAAGAAGAACTAGTGAGCCCTCCGTCGTGGTACACGAAACCACAGTTTTCGAGAGCCAGAAGCTTTAATCGTATGTCCAAAAAAAGTTCGTGTTAAACATGTTACATATTAAAATCGTACATAGACCTGAAAATTCAACGGATCTCATTAATATTTTACAATACCTACCTGTTATTAAACTTTTACTAGCTAGACGTTTTAAGTGTCAGACTTTACAGTCAGCTTAGGTAAAGTTCCGAATGAAATGTTAGAATCCTATTAATGGCATAGTAACTTACATGGATCTCGCGTTTATTTTTTCACTAATTGTCTTAAAATCTATATATATGTGATTATACAATTATTGGAATATGGCGCCAACACCAGATGTTGAGTTCCATTTATTTAAATTAGAAAAGATTACCATCGAGAAACCTAGAGCTACAATATAATGTTCTTAGAGTAATTCCTGTTGTTGTTACATTTTATAGTGCACCAGAAAGTATTTTAGTGCTTGCGAGACCTGTGTCATTAGTCAATTAAAGAGCTTACAATAGGCGCGCACCACCTTCTTACGGGATTTATAGAATATTGTTATTAATGCATAGTAAATTGTAGAGGTTGAAGGTTTTGGCATTGAAGATATTGTTTTAAATGCCAAAGTTTCCAACATTCGCTTCCTACACAAAAAAAACTATTTTTCTCAAAATATACCTAAATAGTATTTTCATCACGAATAAAATTGTATCTTTAAAAAGTACCTATATTTTATTTACCCTGCAGACGTTGCCTTTTTTATAGTTCAGTTAGTTTTATTGGTGTAAGAATATATAAATCGTATAGTTTAGAATTCAACAATTTATGTTTATTTTACCAAATGATTATTCTAAAGCTATTTACTACCTATTATTAAATACCTAAAATTTACTGACTATACTTATGACTCACCAATCAAATATATTAAATACTAGATCTTGGCTAAAATCTCTCGTTGCCGGCCTGTTAGTTACTAAAAAAAGCTCTAATATTGACATTGACAGTTTAGTTATCTTTGACAGTGTCCACAGTTGAATGTCAGATCAGTTACAATTCTTGTAATTGAAGAAGAAATGACATTAAAAATAAATAACCTGAGTTTAGGAACCAAACTAAAGTTATTAATCTTAAGAGAAAAATGTTTAAATATAAGAACATACTGCACGAGGCCCGCTTACAATGTGTTATTTTTTGGCTCTGATGGAATCGGACTTCGAAGTTTACGAAGAATCAATGATTTAAGGTACATACAGGAAGTTCGACGATGTATTTATATTGTAAGGAATACTGTTATTACTTATTTTTATACGTTCCTAAAATATTACAGGAAATCTGAACGCCTTATTAAACGCCTGGACCTAGTTACAGCGAATACTTCGAAGAGTAAAAGTATAATTGAGAGTTTTGCAGAGTCTGAAGGCATAAACATTTTAAATTGGCCAGGCTTAAATATCTCCCATGCAGAGTATGATTTAGGGTTGATCGTAGCTTTCGGGCATCTGATCAAGAAAGATATTTTAGACAAATTTCCATTGTAAGTTGCTTTTTGTTGTTTAAAGTTCCGATCAAATTACAATTGAAAACATTGTTTTAGAAACCATATTCTAATTTGTTTTCAGTAGTATAAGTCTGGTTTGTTTATTAGACAATCAACACTTCCTCATTTAGTGCTTTTTTATTTATTAAAACCTATTTACAGAGGAATCATAAATGTACATCCAAGTTTATTACCAAGATGGCGAGGAGCAGCACCAATCATTTATACCTTGCTGCATGGTGACAATTTGGGAGGGGTGTCTCTCATGAAAATAAAAGCTGATAGATTTGATGTGGGTGTGTAGTTTAAATTTTGGTATTATATCTATGTAACTTTCTTTAATATACATATAATTTGTTGCAGTTAAATACTTATGAAGGCTTAAAGTTTTAGTTTTATATTTGCAGCAGAAAACAAGACTTTCTTGTTATATTAGTTTAGCAATGTAATATGCTAGGAAATTACAACTTTATTTCTAGAAATTTTGTGACAGAAATATTTCCAATTCTACAACAATTTCTCCTTTTAATCCAAGTTTGTTATTTTAGGTGAAATTATAAGTCAAAAGGCTGTCCCCGTTCCTGAAGATATTTTATTGCCTGATCTAACAAATCAATTGTCAGACATTGGAGCAGAAATGCTAGTGGATTGCATAAGGACATTGCCAGATAGTCTAAAGAATGCTCGTCCTCAATGCAATGAAGGAGTTACATATGGTAATTGTTATTTAATATTGCTGTAAAAAAAGAATTGAATGGCATTTGTTAGTTTGTGAATAATAATTTTAATATCTTTTTAGCAAAGAAAATAAACAAAAATATTATTGAAGTGAGATGGTCGGAGATGTCAGCAATGCAAGTGTATAATTTGTATAGAGCAATATATGGAATTTATCCTTTATCTACAACTTTCAAGGGAAAACCTATGAAGTTATTTAACGCTTTTCTTCCAAAGAATAATATAGAATATGAAAATAAACCTTTTGGATGTCTAGAGTACTGTGTAAATACAGATGCTATAAGGATCTTATGTAAAGATAGTAGATATATTCATTTCAAATCGTTAAGAATCTTAGGTAAGAGAGAAATATCAGCTTTAGACTTTTACAATGGTTACATAAAGAATGTTTCATTAGACAAAAGAAAATTTGTTGTTAATTAAGAAGTAAAGTTTTATTTAGGTCTATTTCATTGTTTTATTTAAGTATCTATAATATAAGGATAAAGGCTTATAGCATAAAGTTTTGTACTTAGTTGCAATAAACTGAGAAAGAAATAAACTTTTACTTATTAAGTAATTTAATATTTAAAGACAAATTAATTCTATATAACATAACTATTAACTAAGATTGCCAAACTATGGCAGAGAAATTACATACTTTATCAATATAATTTCAGCAATATGTACTTACATATAGAATATTGCATACTTTTTTAATATACTATATATTTCTACAAGGATAGTTAATAAACAGTACCATAAGATAATACATACATATATAGCAATACATAATAGAATAAATGTTATTCTTACTCATTTGAAGATAAAGTTATGGATCAGATGAAGTTTCTATTTTAATTTACTAATATTCTAAATGAAGTGCATATAGATCTCACATTAAGTCTAAAATGATTCATCTCTAGCAAACTCCAAGTAATACTGCTTGAAATGTCTTTTAAAATCCAACTTGCTTAAATTTATGTATGAGAAATATTTTTGAAATCACCATATTTGAGCATAATTTTTACAAGCTTCTGTGTTTTGCGGATTTTTATAACCACATTTTAGGTACTTCCAATCAATTTATATGGTATTCTGAAACGACTAACAAATAATTCCTATTGTCATGTTTAAATTAAACGGTCACGGCTTGCTAGTTACACCCGTACCCTGAAAATTTCAAAAGTTCATACATTAGTATTTCATGTGTCCACATTCACAAAATCACAAATAATACGTGTATAAAAGAAATAAATAAAGTCGGTCAAGTGGCATTGTGCACTAAGTTAGAAAACATGACAAAACAATCACTATTTTTCCTAAAACATTATAACAATAGTGTATTGATTTTGAAACTTACCTTATAGATATTAGTGGATCTATACATTTAGTAACACATTCACATGTTAATATAAACATGATTGTTTATAACATAAAAAGCCTTCTAGGAATGCACTCTCTTAGACATGTGAGTCTCCATTGTTAAACATCTATGAACATTTCAAAGAATTCAATCAATTAAAAATAAAATATGTTCGTGCATTTTATGTTCTTTTTTTCAGTACCATGCAATGTTTGTCACACAGGTATTCAGCAAGACTAGTTATGACATAAAGAATCTATGTACAAAATGTGTGAATGTATACATTATCATTGTATAATAAAAACACGGTACAAGTGACAAAACAGAAGCCTGTCTTACCTCGACTAACAAATACAGCAATGGGATTTTCTAACGACCCGAATCCTGTGAATGTACCCTCAAAATTAACAGCAATAAAGATGATTTTGAAAAATTATAAATCAATCTTAATAATAGTTTCATTCTTTAGTTCTTAATTTAGTCGGCTTCTGTTTTTTCTTTATCTGTGATTGCGGCATATGGTATAGACAAATTTATAATGATAAAGGTTAGTGGTAAATGCCATTGAATGAAAATCATAAAATGATTTGTATTAAATACACTTTTATTTGTTATAAAATCCGTAAACAATGACTTTCTTACAGTAAAAAATACATAAAAACATGCACCTAAGTACTAAGCTCAATTATTTCCCCAAGATAGATTTCTTATCAAGAGTCTTTTGCCCCAAACCACTTTGTAACACAGTATAATTACTTTTATCCCTACTACAAATAGTATCTAGCTACCGAAACTTAATATTTTTAGTGTTCCTGGATATTTCACATTGAAAAGCATTGCAAAAAAAATGTTGCACAGTTAAAATAATTTTTAAATAAAGACAATTATAGGAACGTCACACACAAAATTATTGCACATAGTTTGTCCGCTTAATTTATAAACGAATACTAAGTGACAAGTTATGCCGTGTTGTCTCTTTCATACAAATTCTAAATGAGATTTGTTTGACAGGGACAAAACAGACCAACTACCCGCACATCTAAATATCCGTTTATTAATTAATGCGTTAATAATAATAAATGCGTTTCTAAACTAAGCAAATGTTAGTTCATGTATATCACATTATTGGAATCATTTTAGCCTAATGAAATAAATGAAAGTGTATATTTTTTAAGTATATAAGTGTTGCTTTTTAATTATACCAAGGGAATGTGCAATTTGTTCGCTACCAGTGACTAACTAAAGCCCCTGCAAATATTTTCACTGTGATTCGTTTTCAGATGTAAGTACTATAATTGTATTTTTTAAAGAATAAGCTTTCATCTAACGGGATTAGATGTGGTTGCAGATATCTGACTTTTACAGGTGAAGTGTGCTGGAATAAGCAACTATCACAATGGAGATCGTTGCTTTCTTCTTCAGGTCACAGAGAACATTTTGGCCCCAGCTGTTTCCTAAAATATAGTTCAGACATGACGTCACTAAATGAACAATGAACAAATATGAGGAAGGGATCCTTCGTTTCATTATGATACCGTGAAACGAGCAACCCCTTATAAATGATGAACTGAACAAAAACTTTCAACTAAAATCAAACGATGCATTCAAAAATAAATTTATTATAAAAAGCACAATATTCATGCAAAAAAAAAAACTAAGCAAAAAAGGCAACAATATAAAATGTTTTGTTAGTAAATGCTTATGTTCTTGGGAGCAAATCTGAAATTTAAGAATTCAAGAATCAAGTAAAATCCCAGGTACAAAATAAAAAATCTATGATTTCAACAGTATACTTTAATTAAACTCTAAATACAACAACTAGTTACACTAATAAGAACATTTTATGTAGTACCTTCAATATAGCTTCTTAACTTATACGATTCTAAAGATTGGTAAATATAGAAATATCTACTGAAGTTGTGATGACTAAAAAAATAAGATTTCCAGATATAATATCTAACATTATTTATAAAGATTTTTATATGTATTTAACAAATTAATATTTCATTTGAAAATATTTTTCATAATTAAAAATAAAATAAATATTGATCATAATTTCGTAATCACTTAGAATATTAAAAAAGGGATATTTATTACTTTTATCTAAGCACTCGTTTACACCTACACACTAGATAAAATACCCTCATTCGGGTAACAAATAACGCTATCTATTTAATATGGAACAGGTGTCAGCAATACATCGTTTACATGCCAATAATAAAATATTAGTCACTTATAATCTGATACATATTTTTTGATTTGGGTGACCATACTTTACAACAAAATTGGTCAAATTAAAAAAAATCACCTTTAACTTAATAATTAAAATTCAATTAAATTTATAAAATTTGGCCACCCTCTACTAATCTAATCACACAAACGTATGCATAAGTACTAGCACCCTGTATATACATATTATTACAGTACATAATCTTGCTGTTATTTACAACTACTATAGGTGAGCAACATTCAGCATATTTCGTTATTAACATGTTTTTAAAAAAGTGTTTTTAGCTTTAAGCCCTACTATGAAGGCAAAAGTGAAGTCTTTTACACGATATTTACTTATTTCAGGTGACAAAATCCAGACACATGATTTGCTTCAGTTTGGTCACTTGACAAAAACCATACCATTTGGCATAGCATTGTGCCAAAAGTTGCTCACAGCTAGGCTACATAATATAGTTAGTAAATAAAATCGGAGGGTAGAGTTATAGCTTACATGTGCTCGGGGTGTGAACGGATGCAGTCTATGAAGTCACTCGGCTTGAGTTCACCGCGGCATATGCGGAATACTGCGGTGAATAAGGGGAACCTGAAAGATATACATTCTTGGTTATTAAATTGTGTAAGGCTTTCACGGCCGTCGTTCAATAAGAGAGAATTAATTTAATTCTTCGAGCAGTCGATGAGTTAACATCTGATGATGTCATCAGCACGTGATGGCGAAACATCGAGAACCTCCTCTCACTCACGTCGACCGAACAGCCCGAAAAACCGATATGCTGTTTCTTGGTTATTATTTTGAAACCCCTTACATGGATAATAATATGAGACTTTTTTTCGACGTGAGAAGGTAGTTGTTAATTATTTGTTGATAAGTATTATCAAGTATTAGTCTATCGTAAGGTAATGTTTAACGACAAAAACATTATAACGGTTTAAAATGCCATTTTTAAATAAGATTGTAGTTAAAAATAAATACAAATATATATCTTAGCGTATTAAACTGTGTTTTATGAAAAAGGTTTGATAATAAATAAAATTGGTACACATAGTCGAGTAATTGTTCGTGGCTTATATGATTCTTAAAATGCGACCACATATAAAACGTATATCTTAATTAGCTACTATTTTCCTCATGCCAAAGCAACCATGACGATATAGCATACCTATTAAACCTCGTCACAAGTCATATGCACAAAACTTACTACAATAAAAAAAGTTTACTATTGTAAGGTTTTACGGGGATTGAGGTTGTATGAATGTATATATTTGGCTTAATTTAACATACATTTTAGGGTCAATTGGACAGTGGAGGTCAGTCAAGTATGGAGAAGAAATTAGATGAAGATATACGTTAGATAGACCAGCACTGTTAAATCTAATTAAAATGCGTTGTCTGGCTTTGGAATTCTAGATAGTCCTGCCACCCATTTTATGTCTAGATTTTCCAGACGTTATAATTATAAAATGACAGATATAGATAGATAGATATCTCTGTTAGTGTCTGGAGGGAATAAGACCGGAAAATTATTATTCATACAGTGACTAATTATTTATTCTCTTTAGTCCCCCTGTAACCACGACTGCTGCAAAACATCCTAAACTTTAGGTCGTAGTTATTTTTATAATTTCCGCGTTAAAAAAATATCTACACGTCTTTTGGCTCGTTAAAACTTATTTTAATGTGTCAACTCGCGTAAAGCACTTTGAAGGTAGAAGGCAATGACAATGAAATAATACAATCTACCATTGACCTTAGTGGCAGTGGATCAACGCCAGATCTATTTTTGCATCACCTTAATTGCGGAGTTACGTGTTCAACTGATAACGATATTAAGAAACAAGTGCAACATTATGAATGAATTTGTTTTGTCTTTCCTTAGGCCTTCAAGCGGGCGGGTTGGTTACTCTTCGATTTTTATAATATGCGAAAAGGAAGATTAAGATAGACTTAACTTAATCGCGCAAAGACTGTATACATATATCGTAACACGGGCAAGGAAGCAATGGATTATTTTTGTCACCAAATAAAGTCACCTACATAAAGTAGTTAATAATAAAAAAGGTACTTATTACAACGGTTAGAGAACAATATATATATATATTGAGATTAAGGCTGCAAAGTACACCAAACGTCGAGTTGTAGATATTAATAAATTAACAAATTCAAATGAGTTCACTACCGTTGATTACAAAATCTTATTCGAACATCTAAATTCTAAAGTTATATGGCTGAGGTATTTCATCTATAGTAAAAAATGTCTCATAAATGAATTAAAATCTTCAGGTATGTTATGCAATAATGACTTGGCAAGCATTTAAATGCATTAAATTAGTCGCAGCTTCGTATTGGGCCTGGTAATCTATGTTTATATTTAGCCATAAGCAGATCCCGTTAAGACTCAACGTAACGAAATCAATACACCATATAAACCGACTGACACGATTGTATTAAACGAACTCAACCGAGAACAGATAGGCAAAATTCTTACTTGTTCTCCATATTCTTATTGGCTAACATGTGGTTGACTTCTTCCGCCGTGATGGGACCTTGTAGCTTCTGGCCATTCAACATTTCATCTTCCAACTCTTTGATGGAGCGACCGGTCTTCACAAACGCCTCTGCTACTCGACGATTTCGGCCACCTGCGAACAAGAATTACCTTAGAATGTATATTTTGAAATTAAATACTGTCTGACAGTGTAAGTTTTTAGTACTACGGGTCGAAAAAATGCAGCTTCCGGAAAGACTAAAGTGTAATTTACAAAAAATATATATTATCACAGATTATTGATACTTCCACACTCATTGAAGACCACTACCACAGATGTGGTACTATCTCAAGGCGTTAGCTGTCAATAAAAAATATATCATCTCTTTAAAATACCACAGAGCGCAGTATAGTCAAACCTAGACAGTTATCTAAAAAGCAAACATTAAGCGCTTAATAACGACATCAATATATTTGCTGTCTGTATCATAGTAGTTACTAGGCAGATATCTTATCACTACGCTATGTGTTTGTATATCCAACATGTGTTAGAGTACACGAAGTTTTATAACAACACTCGAATTATATTATGAAAAATATTGCGTGATATGAAACTTGTTATTGCTAGTTCATAATGTATTAACACTTATATGTAATTGTTTCTTTTCCATTGTATGAGGCCAAAGGTTGATCCAGTTTTAATTAGTCATAACAAAAAAATATGACTTACATAAAATGATACAAGTTTAAAAGCTTTCTAGGGTCAAGTTTTAGTCTGTGGATTTCTGAATTGATACAGGGCTACGGAATTTCTCCTTATAATGCATTATGCTGGTGTGTCCTTCTCTATCATAAAAATCTACAAACCATAGCAGGTGGTAATAAGATCAGCAACACCACACGACTCGAAGAATGTGCTAAGTTTGCTTCCAGGGTAAAAAACATCCACGAACTTGATCATCTCCATGAGACCGAGACGAATAACGGCAGCTTTCGTATTGTCGCCGAAACCCAAACCGTCCACGAATCCTGCACCAACAGCCACTATGTTCTGAAAGATTGTATATTGCCTATAATTTCGGCTTTTAGGTATTTTGTATTATTTAAGATAACCTATTGATATAAATTTCTGCAGACAACACAATGGGTCTTGCGGATGGGATAGATTAAGAATCTAGATCATAAGCCCCTTAATACGATACTATCGGTGATCGTCACGCCGTCTAGACATCGTGTTCAGATGATAAACAAGCAAACATACTGTTCTAGGTTCCGCTATATTTAACCTTGGTGAGTAGTTGATGTGAAATTTAAACTGTTGAGATAACTAGTAATCTAATAGAGATAGAAGTTAAAATGTAGATACTCATCATTTTACAATTCCATATAGGTCAACTTAAAAAACTATTGTATTACATACATACAAACATCTGTTTATTTTACTTATTCGATTGTTTAACCTCTTTCTGCGTTGCTCTAAATTATTTTCTCTTACGCAAGACCCTGCTTAGACAACTCGTCTTACAACTCAATCACTGAATTGATTAACATCAAAAGGATTAAAAAATCATTTGGAGTTAAAAATAAGTAACTTTTAAGCAACTAAAGGTTATCACCAATTCATCCGGTCGTAAAGAACGTCTCGTTCGACTTCGACACTGTTTATTGTATATGATAATTGATAATACACAAATAATGCGCAAGAGAAAATATTTTGTTGTAAGTAATAAATTTAAGAGTTTCCACAAACAGTTCGATTAATGTTTATTTTTTAATTAACGTGTGATATCATAATATACTGTTACGCGAGTAGTACACATTTGAATAAACCCTTAAACGGTTTAAAACGTGATATAATTTTTTAAACTTATTTGGAAATTAACTGCGGCCCGACGTTTCGGAGGCAACAGCCGTGGTCACGGGGAAAATTCAAATAAGACTCAAATAAGTTTAACTTATATATGTCGCGTTTTAAACTATTATTATCTTTAATTTAAATGTGTGATATCATGTCTTTTGTCTTACAGACGGCGAGAAATCGGGTACTCTATTTTCTCGATAAAAGAAGTGAATACTGCAATAAATAAATCTTCTTCATTAGCGATAGGATCATGTCCATATCACACATTCATTAAATAACATCATATTAATCTAGATAATAAATCTCGACAAATAAGCCCATTTATTTTACTAAAAGCAATTTTATATATTAGCCACAACGTTAAGATAAGGTTAGTAATAATAGTTTAGTGTGGATAAAGTACGTTGCGATAAAAACGTAATAATGATAAGAATAGATGCGATATTAATTCTACAGGTAAGAAGCAAAACGTACAGGAACGTTTTGCTTAGCGAAATGCAAAAGTGATAGTCGTCACACAGTCGGTACTACAACATAACTCTTGGTTCTAAATGCAATTACACTTGAACCCAGTCGATCTTTTAATCTCGTAGATAAAACAATTTTAAACGGATTAAAGAAAGAACTATATGAGTTAAAGAATTTTAACTATGTCCCGATTCTTCGGGTACTGAAAAACTGCGGATATATAATCAGTTTTGTAAGCAACATTTAGTTTTACAAGTTCGTTATCCTTTAAATATTTCTGTTTTCAAAAACCAAAAATACAAAAATACTATCTCACGTTGTGTTTGCAAACCCAAGCGGTAATTTATTAGGTTTTTGACATACCTTGAGAGCACCACAGATCTCCACAGCATCCTCGTCATCGACCACCACGACCCTGAAGTATTCGGTCTGAATGATATCCCTCATCAAGGGCGCCAGCATAACATCGCGACAGCCAATTGTCGTCTCGCAGAACTTCTCTTCTGCTACCTATGGGAATTTGCATTATTTATCTCATAGACATTAACACAAATAGATGAATGTATTATTAGCGGAGGGTTTTTTTTTGGTGGTATCTATAATTTTAGGTTCAGGTAAGTATTTCGAAGGCATAGTAGAAAACCGCGAAACGTACTAGCCCTTCTTAATCTTGTTAACTCTAACAACTGTCAAGGTGAACGGTGTTATATATAGAAATACCAACCAAGGTAAACTATTTGCTTTGTCGCGAAATTCTTTAACAGTTTTTGATGTTTTATTTTAAAGCGTTTTTTTATACTTATACTGAGGTCGTGCTACCTTCACTTAAAAGACTTTAAATAAGTTTGTTTAATAGCGAATATTAAACACTGTTTATATCTAAACAAATGTTTTAAGATCTTGAACTAAAGTTCAAAAATAAATCGAAGTAATAAATACTTAAACTTATGTAACATTTCAGTAAATCCATTATAAATATAAACTTTTAATGATTGTTGAAAAATAACAACGTTAGGAAAAAATGAAGCGAAAGTACAATAATTCGAAAATCTTGTCTTATATTCCAGGTATACATACCTCTGACGCAATGTTGGCACCCATGAGAACAGCGCAAGGAATTTTCAGACACCTCGTGATGATATGCGATATCAAGTCAATGCCACCACCTTCGGCGATGTCGAAGCCCTGCCAAAGAACAACTTACTAGTTACTACATAATAATATGTATATTTTAGTAGTAATTACGTAAGTAGTTTACATGAGTAGTGCACATTTAAATAAAACACTAACGGTTTAAAACGTGATATATATTCATTAGTGACCACGGCTGATGCATAGCATCCTAAACGTCGGGCCGTATTTAAAATAATTCTCAAATAAGTTTTACTTTTGATTTTATAATTAAAAATCTTTCAGGGGCTATTTATTTGGTCATTTAAAGACTAATTTATCTCGATGTGTCACATGGAAACATGCGGATCAAGCTAATTGCATCATTGATCTAGTGCTAGTACACTCGGTTTAAGACTGGAGTCTATAGTTCGCGTTTAAATCAAGTGATATTTTTTACAGTGTCCAACTCGGAGTTTCAAGGACACCTGTGCCTATTTTTTTGTAAATGAGGGATTTTTAATATAAATAATATAGAAATTTGATATAAATAAGATACGGATGGGTGATATGATAATTATTTTGATTAATTAGTTCAAAAGATAAATCGTAAATAGTTCCAAATAGCATATTTAGACTGTCTTTAAAGCCGATTTCGACTTATGCAGTAAGTAACACAACGCGGGAAACAAAGCAAACAAAAGCGCATTTTCAGCACAAGTAATTTGTGAGACTTGTGGTTTGTATAGAAATATGTACTCGAAATAAGTTTGATTCATTATTTCAAATTTAATATGATTAGTGAATATGTTGAGTACTAAGGTGCCAGTTTTTAACCGATTTCACGTTATGATACATGGGCTGAGTGAAAAAAAAACGGGATCCTTTTATTCCAAACAAAATATAGTCAGAAACAAATAATTCGGTTTTATATAGTATCATATAAAACCGAATTATTTATTATATGTGTATACATATTTAAATTTTATATTTTACTTCAAATTATGTTTGCGTAACATTAGATAGCAAATATATGAAAGAAAATGTATTTAGATAAAACACTTTAACGGTTTAAAACGCGATATATTAGTTAAACTTATTTGAAAATGATTCTTAACTTCGGCCCGACGTGAATGATATATAATATAAAATAATAGTATAATAGAAAATGTATTTAAAAAAATTATGACATGTTAAATCAATGTTACCCTAGCCCTAAAAGCGTAGTTAAGATTTGTCTTCTGACTAAAAAAACAAAATCGAAATGTTTTATTCACTACCAGCTATTCCCTAAAAACAGTTTTGGCAATGCTGGTAGTCAATGAGATGAAAAATGATGCAGTGCAAACGCGACACGTGCATGAAGGTCGCCAATACTCACGCTTACGAGGCCAACAGACAAGAAGTTACTTATAGTTGTTTATATGTATTGATAATACTACTGAATCTATGAAAAAGTTTTACCCAAATGGTGTTACCTCAATTAGAATCTACAGAAATTTTATCTTCTTTATAACAATCAAAAGTAGTTCAGCATTCATTTGATAGGAAACTAATTAAGTAATGTATAAAATGTATGTAATTTATTTACTAATATTTGTGTAATTAGAAAAGCCACAATGCATTATAATTAGGAGCCAGTAAACTTGTATTAGCAATATCAAAAGTTGATAAAGGTAATACAAAAAAGTGGTATCTTTATCTTACAGCTTATCAGAAGGGCGCTAAGAATGAGAAATTGTGAAATGAACTATGAATTGTGTCTGTCTTATACATCATATACACGATATGAAGTTGCATATTCTATTCTTTTATATATTTAGTAAGAATGTAAAGAAACACCAAGTTGCACATACCTTGATTAAGGATAAGGCTGCCGCTGTGGGTTTAATCTGGCCAAGTAGTGTAGAGCATATTGTTCTAACAAACTGGTGAGGAACTACGAATATTAAAAGATCCGCGTCTTTTGCTGCTGCAACAAGTTCTGGAACTGCAACCTGGTCAAGAAATCAAAATTTTAATGGTATATAATTTATTGTCCTGTATATGCAAAAATGTATCATTATTTAGCTAATTACTTAACAGAATTCTGAACTTTAGGATAAAAAAAGACAAGACACATCTTATAATTTAGTCTCAATAGACTTGACAGCTGTAAAGATACATAAATGGTAAATATTTGATTTTGTTATTTTATTTATATTATATAATTTGTGTATTTTTTATTTGAATTAAAGGCATATATAACAACAATATTTTAACTTTTAAAACTTTACTCACAACATTCTCTGGTAGCTTATGTCCTGGAAGATATTTAACATTCTCATGTGTTTCATTTATAATTTCTGTCAATTTTTTGCCTTCAATCATCTCTTCATAAACCCACATTGTAACTCTATCTTCAAAATTAGGGAGGCGGGCTGCATTTCTCCCTACGATTTTTGCTATGGCAGAGCCCCTATACAAAATTATTCTTGTTATATATCCACATACTCATTCTTTAGATGTTATGTCATCAATTCATGCTTATAATTATTACAATCTTATTTTTAGCCTTACCAATTTCCTGATCCCACAATACAAACACGATTCTTTAATTGTTTTTCAGCCATGATTAGGAGGTCTTATTTGAACAACAAATAGTAAGAAAAAAACACACACACACAGCACTTTTATCAGTAAAGTCAATATAATATATGTAACGTTAAGAAGAAATCGTGGAGTACGACCTTTTATGTAATAATTTTTTGCACGACTGTTATATTGCAGCCGCAGTACGGCAGCTAAATGATAATCGAGTGTTGTTACGTATTACTATTACATACGTTATCAAATTATTATCAACACCGTCACAGAAATCTACAAGGCGGTACGTCATCTGTCAAAACCAATGACATATGACAAACATATTATAAACTACTCAATTATGTAGTTATTTCAATAATTGAGTATAATAGAAAAAAACCTGAATATTCGAGGGAAAAATGTTTATTGTTGTATCTCAGGAATGATTGTCAAAGACTAATAGCCTCGTAACTGAGCTTTAAAATTCTGAGTCCAAGATTAAAATAAAGGATTCATTTTACGTTAGTCAGGAAAGAGATTAATCTTTGTCGTTTATATTAATTCATATGTATTTTTATTGCAATTTAATAAAAAAAATACTACTTTCCTTATAAAATTTGACAAAAATAAATCTATTTTTTGCTTTAAATATACCAAAGACGTAATTGTCACGAATTGTGTTGTAGTTAATAAAGCATTTCGTATAATGGAACGTAGGAATGTTCTAGAAACACCACATTTTGTGATCGACTTGCGTAAAATTTGCGGTGAAGAAGGTTCTATGCAGCTATTTCGTTCTTTCAAACGTCATTCGTGATTGAATTTCGGTGCGCTAAAGGTGTTCTCTATCGTGTTCACAAATTGTTCAATCGTGGTTTCTGGAAATTTACATTTTTACGCGTTCTAAGTGTTTTGTGAATTAAATTGTGACCAAGGTGAGAAATAATGGCGAATTCTTCAGATTTGAAAAGAAAAACGTGATAATATAAAGTAGCCCATTACTTATTAAGTTATACGCTATCTATCTAAAACGTACGAAGTGGTTATAATAAAATAATGCTTGCTTCTGGTTGCTCTGATGTTTCAGCATTGAAGCAATTGATTGTTAAATTTTCTACAAATCGTGTAGTAAAAAGTTTTGACGTTGATGATTTGTCTAATACCGATCAATACCATCATTCACCAATGCTATTGTGTAAATTTTTCTGTTAACAATATTCTAGATGTGAACTTGACTATAACATTATCGTGTTATATTGTACCGAAAAATACTTAGGCATATTGTGTTAATAATACAATATAATAAATACCTACCATAGTTATGGAATTTTGTATTTGTTGCTTTTTATTTTAGGTTATGTTATAATATATGTCATTTCAGAATGTCCTTTAACTATTGGCGGTTATAAAGTGTTTTTATTTCAGCTATTCAAGATGGTAAAAGAAACAACATACTATGATATATTAGGTGTAAAACCTACCGCTACAGGAGATGAACTTAAAAAAGCATATAGAAAGTTAGCTCTCAAATATCACCCTGATAAGAATCCAAATGAAGGAGAGAGGTTTAAGCAAATATCACAAGCATATGAAGTGCTATCAAATCCTGAGAAGAGAAAAATATATGACCAAGGTATCTATCCCTCATTTAACGATATTTATTTGCTATTCATTAAGTAATTAAATTTTCCACCCCAGTGGTATTATGCTTAAACTAGATTAAAACCCCAGGAAAACATACATATGATGTCTTTGTGATTTGTTGTTCTATGTTTTTAGCCTATTTAATATATCAATGCAATATGCTTAAAATACATTGCCTTTTAAATAAAACACTTTAACGGTTTAAACGCGATATATTAGTTAAACTTATTTGAAAATGATTTTAAACTTCGGCCCGACGTTGCCCCGTGACCATGGCTGCTGCAAAGCATCCGAAACATCGGGTCGAAGCTAAAAATCATTGTCAAATAAGTTTAACTAATATATCGCGTTTTAAACCGTTAAAGTGTTTTATTTAAATGTGTACTACTCGCGTAAGCTATAGACAGTATCTATACATTGCCTTGTATTGTACTATTCAAAAGAAATGTTCTTAGTGTACCATTAACTTGTTAGTTATGGTTTTTTACTTTATCATGATTAAATTAAAAATGTTGAAATAATTTATAAATATTTCCTAGGTCGAAAATTGTGTTAAGTAAACTAAAATTGTGATATTTTTGTCAGGTGGTGAACAAGCATTGAAAGAAGGTGGTGTTGATGGAGGTGGTATGTCATCGCCTATGGATATCTTCAATATGTTCTTTGGGGGTGGTTTTAGTGGTGGTAGCAGAAGGGGTCGTGAGAGAAAGGGTAAAGATGTCATACACCAGCTCTCTGTCACACTTGAAGAACTGTACAGAGGTGCTGTCAGGAAGTTAGCATTGCAAAAGAATGTCATTTGTGAGAAATGCGAAGGCAGAGGTGGGAAGAAGGTATGATATTGTTATGTTTTAATATAAATTTAAGACAACTTTCAACTTCAGTTAATAAAAACTTTTTAATGTAAAAGGGCACCATCTACTTTAAATGCACATCAATACCTGTGTGAATGATAATTTATAAGTAATAATGACAAATATTCCCATCAGGGTGCTGTACAAACTTGCCCAACATGCCGTGGTACAGGAATGCAGATTCAAATTCAGCAACTTGGTCCTGGAATGATTCAGCAGATACAAACGGTGTGTGGGGACTGTCGAGGGCAGAGAGAGATCATTGATCCCAAAGACCGCTGCAAAGTTTGCCAGGTTTGTATATAAAATATTTAAGTTTTTCTTACAGTACATTTGACTTTCTATTTCCCTTTCATAGAACGTTAGGCAAACCCGTGGTATTTAGTTGAGTATATTTATTCCTTAATATTTACATACATCTTTTTCTTCTTAGTTCAAGCCATTGTGTTGCTACATTCAAAAATCTGTTATCCTCATAACATGGCAGGTGGTCAAGCCAAGTCATGTATAAACCAAACAGACAGATTTGTCTTTTCCCTATCAGATGTAAATGGTGTCATTATTTTTTTAGGGTCGTAAAACTGTGCGTGACCGCAAAATTTTAGACGTTCACGTAGACAAGGGTATGACAGATGGACAGAAAATTGTATTTAGTGGTGAAGGGGACCAGGAACCAGACATGGAGCCTGGAGATCTCATCATTGTACTGGATGAGAAGGAGAATGCTGTAAGTAGAGATATAGCTTGTGTAAACAAATTTTGTCTTGGTTTCTATTATTTTAAATCTAGAATTTTTGAAAATATTATTAATTTTTGGCACTGGTAGGACTCTAACCCACCATATCTTTATGCTGTTGACTTATCAATTTTCCTACCCATTTAATATAAGCTTTCATGTGTAACTAACTAACTTTTAACTGTTATAGGTTTTTAAACGTACTGGAAATGATCTGATAGTAAGATTAAATATCGAACTTGTGGAAGCTCTATGTGGATTCCAAAAGGTTATAAGAACTCTAGATGACAGAGATATTGTGATTACTGTAATGCCAGGAGAGGTGACAAAACATGGAGAGGTCAAGTGTGTACTTAATGAAGGTAAGAGTTAAAAATACATGAAGATGAGTAAACATTTGAAGAATTTGAAGAATACTGGTGGCTCGCCAGCAGCAAAAATAATACCTAATTTATTAATAAATTATTTCTCAATTTCATTACAATATTATCTTGGATTACCTTTATTTCTGGCTGCCTGCCGCCAGTTGATTTGCCCGAGTGGGCCCTAGTCTTAATAAGTCAGTGCATCCCTATTTTAGTGTCTAGACATAAATTTTGATACTGGGTAATTACCCCGATATCCCTAACTAACTAGATATACAGTTAAATAATGGCTGAATTGGTTGGTTTCCTACAGGTATGCCAATGTACAAGAATCCATTTGAGAAGGGGCAGTTGATTATTCAGTTTTTGGTTAACTTCCCTGCTCGCATTCCACCTGAAGTCATTCCTGCTTTGGAGAACTGTCTCCCTCCAAGACCTACGGTGAGTTAATTATTATAACTAATAGTGAAAATGTATCACATTTACGTTTTCGTTAGTGACGAACTTAGCGGCAATGATGACGCAACGCTATTAATAAATATTGATAATACTTCTTGCATAGTCATGGTCTAGGACAGAGATAATCTCAAGATTTTTATTTAATGAGGAAAAGGCAGCAAATTTTAAAAAGATAAACAGAACAAATGATGTTGATAAAGAAAACACCACATACATATTTACAAAACGAATAATTGTAGAAAAATCTATAAATCGTTATTTGTTATATATGAAAAAGAGATATAGAAAAATGCATGTCTTTTTCGAGTTATGTTCAAATTAGTAAGCAGGTTTCTTCTAAACTTCTAATATTATTATTGTACTAAATTGCAGATTAACATTCCTGAGCTAGCTGAAGAATGTCAGCTAATGGAATTAGATCCAGAACAGGAGTGGCGAAGACGGCGCCAGCAACGTAATGCATATGATGAAGACGAAGATGGACCAGGTGTTAATCGTGTGCAATGCGCTACAAGCTAAGGTAAGGGGTGGCTAATAAATGAATATATCTTGACAATTTTACTTCATTTATAAAAATACTAGCTGTGCCAGCGACTTCGTTCGCGTGGATAGTGACTTGGGGTAGAATTTTTAATTATTTAGGCTGTTTTTTAATTTATCTAATTGCGCATTTATCGCAGCTAATCTATGTTGTAAGTGCTACTTTGCCGCAACACTCTCACCTCACACCCACTCCTATTCCCAAAAAGCCAAATAAGAAAGTTTCATTGTTCTAGCTTAAAAAAACACGAATTTCCATACAAACTTTTAACCCCTTTTTCGCAATAAAAAGTAGCCTATGTTCTTTCTCAGGGTCATAACCATCTGTGTACCAAATTTAATTTCAAACCGTTCAGTAGTTTTGGCGTAAAAGAGTAACAGACAGAGTTACTTTCGCATTTATAATATTAGTAAGAATTGTGATATCAATATACTATACTATACTACTACTACTAATATAATCTAATATATAAAGCTGAAGAGTTTGTTTGTATGTTTGTATGCGCTAATCTCAGGAACTACTGGTTTCTTCTTTTTGTGTTGGTTACAGCATTTATTGAGGAAGGTATCACAGCGCTATAAAACATACAACGCTGTCACTAATAGGAGTGAAGATAAGATACACCGGGAAATGTCGAAAAAACGGGGAAAATTATTCATCCTTGTCGGTTTCCATTTTACACGCTGCGAAAACGGTTCAAGATACCCAAAAAATTGTAGGAAAGAATGGTTTCTTTTTAAATGATCTAAAAAAAGTCTGTGACAGTATATGGCTATCTTTTAAGATTAACTTACAAGAACGACGGGACGCGGACGACGTCGAAGCGAACATTTATATTATTTATTTATATATGTTTGTCGAAAACAAAAATTGATACCTAAAATATTTGATTTACGCGTACAAAGATGCTGACTCAGCTAGTTAGTAATAAGTTACAAAATAAAATGTACCGAGGTTTTTTACTCATCAACATAGAACATACAGCGCAGTGAATCATGATCAAGTTTTTGATATAAACCCTTTTATTTTTTTCAGATTCCATCACACAGCCTTAGAGAAGACTTAGAAATAATTATTTTGCCCCTACATGGCATTATTGTATTGGAACATATTGTATGCAGTATGGTATTTTTAAATAGATCAATTTATAACTAACTGTAAACATCAGAGCTGGTTGCAGCCTCAAGGTTATTGGTAATACTCAGTTATTTCAACACATTAGTTAGCAAAATCATTCTTTCTGCTACTTGGATAATCATGTCTATTTTGTCACCTTTTTATTCAAATATACACAAGCTCTGATGTTCATTACTGCATTTAAAATGAAACTTGACAATGGCTGTTACACAATTGCCACCAATTCGTATTATTATTGGACCTAAGTGCAGTAATTATTTATACTCTATCAGAAAATGACAAACAATAAATGATATTGGTTTGTTAAAATTGTGTTGGCTATTGATTTTATTTCCTATATTTTATTTAATAAATCTACTGTAACTTCATATCATATTTACAATCACATTTAAATATGTACATCATAATTAAAAAACTAGGTACCTTAAAATATATACATATAAACAACCAAGCAATACTTATTTGTAAAAATATGTCGAGCTTTTTGTGTAACTAAAATGCAATAGGTCCATGTCACTATTTGGTGATAAATAGTTCTGTGATTACAAGTTGAAAAGTAATTTTATATTCTAAGTCGACTACTTGTGCCGCCTTTCAATGTCTTTACATTGGGCTTTAAGGTCTCATTTGTCTCCTTTATGCTCCTGCCTAATCAGATTTAAAATGTTAGAATAATGTTTTGTTAACATACAATGTAGCAAATTTAAAATATTTGATTTCTGGTGACTGTTGTATTAAATTTATAATAGAGGGCCTGGTTACTCTTGTGTATCTGCTGCTTCAAAAATTTGTTGTATCACAATTCTCAATAAATAAATAAACTTCAAACTTCTTCCTTCTTTTATTCTACAGATTCACACTAAAGTTTTGATACAAGTTAGATGTGGCGTTTCAAATAAAAATTATTATTGTTTGCAACTTTTATTAGATACATAGTAAAATGCAGATTAGTAATTTTTAAAATGAGCTAATCTAAATAGATTAACAAAGCCCTTATTGTTGCTAATTCCCATATAACCACCATTAGGAGAAAACCCTACTGTCTCAATGAGTTGTAAATTCTTCTTTGGGAAATTGGGAAAAACTCTATATGATGGTATATGGATGGCTTTCAGTGCATTTGGTAGAAAACTTGATGACACTGATAATAAGTCTGTAGTTGGATTAAATGTAATGTTTGTTATTTTAGTTGTTAAGTGGGATATAGTTTTCAAGGGCACAGGGTTGCTCGAAGTTAACTGTTCAGTTTCATATATATTTACAATACCCTCTCCTGTGCCAGTAGCTAAAAGACGTCCACAGTTGCTCATAGTTATCCTCGAAGGAGTAACACATGCATTATCAAAAAACTTTTTAACTGTCCTTTGTGCTATTAGATCCCAAACAGTAATTTCACCAAATTCATTGAAGCAATATAATTCTTTAGAATCAAAGCTAAATGTCATTGCTTTAACATTAGAATTATTTAATATGACTCTTATTAATTCATTTGTCTTAGCACAAATAATATATACCTCTGCAAAACCTCCTGATACTGCCAAAACTTTACTATCAGGAGACAGTTTGAAAAGGGAAACCTTCTTCAAAGTGTGAGGTAGTTGCAGGATTTTAGTGGTTGCTTTAACTACGTCATAAATACAATAATTATGTTTCACACTAGACACATAGGCTTCTGACCCATCACTGTTGAAATGTGTACTGGATATTGTCCAACCCTTGAGTTTAAAACTATGTAATTTCGCATTTTGGTCCAAAGAATGCAATGCCACAACTCCCGAGCTGTTAGCAAGCATTACAGCACTAATTTTTGGATGGAATTTAAGAGATGTAGTGATTGCTCCACGTTGAGGAGTAATTGTTGTGTTGGATTTTACTTGTAATAATCTTCGATCAAACTTTGCAATTTTAGTTTTTTCAAGGTGCCCAACTGTTTTAACTACATCTGACTCTATTAAAGATTCTTCTCTATTCTTGACTTTCGCCCAGGCAGGACTTCCAATAAGTGTTTCATATTTTTGTTTTAGTTTTTCTGCATAAAGGCCGTCATTTTTTAATTTTGGAATAACGTTCTTAATTCTAACTTGCGCATCATCTTCGTCGATCCATGCTGGCTTGTGATGGGTATCACTGTCCAATTTTCTTTCACTCGACAATTCAGTAACAAATCTTTTACTTTTATTAAAAAGTAACGACGATAACCTGGGAAGCAATAACATTTCATTACAGTAAATGAATAAGTACTTTGTTCCTTCATTGAATGATATAAAAAAAAAATTACATACTTGGATTCATCTTCATCAATATTTTCATTATGCTTTCTTTTCATTATGTTTCGAGAGTTTATTAAGATATATTAGTTGTTCGTCTAATATCAGCAACCACCGACACTAACGCAAATCATTAATTTTTTAAAATGCAATACTACATTTAATATTCCACATTTAAGAAACAAAACATAACCTGTCCATTCACATTTTAGGCTAATACAGATTATGAACCATTTTTGAATGCGAAAGTCTATGGAAAGACGATTTCAATTGGCTTTGATCAATGGCGTCGTTTTTTTATTTACTTCAATTATTAATCTCATTATTTAAGTTTATTCAAACATTTTTTTTATTAAATCGTCGTCAAACAAAGCACAAAGATAGACATATATATCAATTAACAATGCATTATATTTTTAATAAAATATATGTAATCTATGGAACTTATGACATTGACATTTTAAATTGGGTTGTATTGTTAACTGACCTATAGATGGCGCTTTTTACGAAATATTCTTTCTCTTTTTGCCACCCACCTTCACCATTTTCATCTCTCTCTAATTATGATATTGTAGGTATGTGTCCCTCTCGTATGAAAACATGAAATGGTACTGTACGATTACAGCAGTAAATTTAAACCAATCAAATGTTTGACTGCACTAACATAAAAAGATTTTATTGGTTGCTTTTGTTATTTGAAGTAGCCTCAACTTAATATAATCCGGCTCGTTGTAGAGCATATATGGGACCATTTAAAAGAAATCATATTAACTACCATCAACTATTAGTCGTATTTAATAGCTCAGAGTCTTTCACTCATCGCTGGTTGATGGTTCGTTTTCGATTGAAGCTTTTTAACGAAATTCATACCGAGAGACACTTAAAAAATGTGTAAAAGAAAACATTAATAATTAAAGAGTGCTGTTTAAATTAGTGTTTTGGAATTAAATACGGTGTGTTTTCTTTATAAAGATATCGGTGACCTTTTACTGTCAATATGGATTCTCACTAACGTATAGGAAAACAGTAGTAAAGAACAATTATCTTTTATTAAGGTGCAATAAAATTACAATGGGGTCAAAGAAGGCTCCGCCATAAATCTGTCAGGTTTGTTTTGGGTGTCATAAACTGGGGAAGAAAAGGATGGTGCAGTGTGTTTTGGTTTGGAGCGATGAGCGGGAGGCAAGCGATGCACAGAACAAGTCAGCTGAGTCGTCAGCGCGTGCAGGAGTCGTGGTATCGTGAAAGGGAGTTCCATGTGGCGTGTGATGTGTGTGCGAGATGTCAGGCAAGCCCGCGAGTGTCGCCGCGGCGCGGGCGGGCGTGGCTGGAGCCCCGCGCGTGCTGCTCTACGTGGCGGAGCCCCGCCAGTTAGAAGCGGCCGCTGCGGGCCCCGACACCCCGCCACAGGGCCACCTGGACCCACTCTACGATCCAACCAAAGCTGTTTACAACGATAAACAATTCTATAAATCTTACCCTGAACAAGATAAATTCACTGATTCCCAAAGAACAGACTATAAATTCTTAAATGAGAGGGAAGATCAACAAAGTGTCAAAAGAAACGATTGGGATAGTGAGTACATAAGACTGGATGCTGGTGAGTATCAGAGATGTGGAGCGGAGATGCCCATTGTGTCAAGTGATTCAGTGCAAGACAGTGAGAGAGATTTAAGTAAATATATGAACTATCAGTTGTTGGAGCAAAGTGTTTCACATCAATCTATTGTAAATCAAAGTATTAATATACTGAGTCGGCCATTGAGTGATAATGAGGGCAGCCCTCAGCTGGTGCGGACTGCAGAGGGTGTTGTGTTGGCTGTGTTACCATCTCTGGTGGAAACAGATAGGACTACACAAAGTGAAATCCAACAAAGCATCACAGTGCCACTCGGCTGGAGAAGAGTTGTAAACGGATTGTCCGTGCTTTATATCAGGTATGTCTGAGTTGTTTATAGATTTTTAATATCTATGTACTTTTATTTTAGATAATAGATTTTCTGTTCTGTTATACCATTTACCATCCACCACAAAGTTTAAAAATTAAAAATATTTAAACTTTTATTACAGAAACTTAAAAAGAATTTTCTAATATATTCAAAAAAATTAAATTTTCTTAGTAAAATGTATCTATGTTTTTATCAAACAAAGCTGTATTTAAACAATTTACTGCATCATCTTAATGTCTTTTATGTCCGTATACGTACCATCTCTTCACATTTGATGTGATTTTTTTATTACTGTAATTTCTTTAATTGTATGTTTTTCTTGATAAGATTAGATACATAAATAAAAATTTTCGGTACTTATTAGATTACATGTCTTTATAGAATCGGTAGTATTATGTTTTCTTATAAAATGATTTCTATGAAGATAACTTCTAGAGAGAAGAGATTATCTAAATGTACCTATATATTTCCTGTTTATAAAAAAAAAATGTTAATATTTTTATTATCCAGTCTATTTGCATGTACCCGCTATAAATTAGTAATATAGGATTTTTAAAGAACAAATTCCTTTTTTAATAATTGATAAGCTCTTTACATTTTAAGAGATACATATAAAAATGATGAAAGATGATAAAAACTGACCTAAAAACAGTACATATGATAAATTACTATAAAATAATATCCTACTTAAATGTTTTTATTACATAGTATGTATGTACAACAGTTCTCACTTTTATACGTAAAAAGAAAAATATATAATAGGCAAAAACTGTCTCTTTATCTCACAGTTAATCGATAGTAAAATACCAGGCGATGAGCAATGTGAAGGAGGCTCAATCGTGCGTTTATGTTAAATCAATCCAAAGTGGACAAACCAGTCGAGCAGCTGTGTTGTGTTGTACGGTCGTAGCTTGGCGCAAGTGAAGAGTGGCTTAATCTGTCTTCATTTTTATGATCCAAGCTTGATGATAGCTCATTGCTTATACTGAACCCAAAAAAATTTAATCCCATATCCACCTGTGATAGTGCCAACACACTTCATCAGTTTTATTGATCGATTCTATTTACAGGCAAACAGGCAAGTAGCGATCAGATCTGTGTCTTACCTGCCAGAAACAGTTTAACTTTTCTCCCGGGATTTAAACGTTGAACTACTGCTACTGAATCGCAAATGTGGTTAGAGCAAAAAACAACCGATATGTGATTTAAAAATTGTTTGTCTTTAAAACCTTGTTTGTTACTAAGTTTTTGTCAGAAAGCCACAGATCGCAAACAATATTAATCGCGAAATGTTATTCCCTCTCGCCGTTAATTTACTTTCAAAACGTGTACAAGATGCCTATAATATTAAATTGGCTTTACCAGTGAAGCAGAGATATTTCATAAAGCAGGGGCGGATTTTACAAGGAGCGCTTATTTAGGGCCCCATTTTCTTACGCTGCTTTTATTGGCTTTAACTTTATATATTAAATGGTCATATTCTAGTCTTTACAATTATTATAAACTGTATTCAATTATAATTATCATTTTTTGTGTACGAGGCGTACGCTGCAAAACGGTTAAAGATACCAAAAAATATGTTATATGATAGAATAATTCCTCTGTCTGTCTATTAAGATTAATTTGCAAGAACGACAGGAAGTGACGGGACCGACGTCGTGGGTAACAGCTTAAGTTTATAAAGATGAAGGGGTTTGCAAAAACGAATTTGGATGCCGAAAATAACGATTCTCGCGGACGAAGTCGCTGACACAACTAGTGCTTAATTAGATAACACTGTATGGTAAACCATACAGTGTCACCACAACAAGTACCCCAGATGAAGCAAAATCGAGCAATTTCTGTCCTAAAAGAATATGTTGTTAAGATTGGAGCCCGTTATATTGGTCGAATTATTTACGATTCAACCCAAAATAACTTGAAACTGACTACGTCCCTGTATAGATTCTTCTCTCATTACGCCTCTTATCTGTCATTGGCAGCACAATGCCGAACAATACGCGTTCACGCATCTTACGAATTCCATACAATATCCTTCTAGGCCCTTTTGTTAGTAACTATGGAATTTGCATTAACAATAATTAATTAGCTTTCGCTTAATTGAAACGGTTGTCCAATTCGCATTTATAAAATTAGTGGTAATTTCCGTACTTTAGAGGAAATAGTCAATTCAGATTTTTTTTTTAATATGACACGGAACTGTGTGTCCGTAGGTTTGAGTCCTACCCATGTCGTAAAATTGTTTCAATCAGATGTCAACATAAAATCGTAAAAAGACAATGTTATTTTCAAATACTGTCTATAGTTTACGCGAGTGGTACACATTTAAATTAAACACTTTATTACTTATTATGACTTATTAGTAACTAATATATCGCGTTTTAAACCGTTAAAGTGTTTTAATTAAAATGTGTACTACTCGCGTAAACTATAGACAGTATTTAATTAACCAGTACGGGCTGGAAAATGCAAAACTAATATATCGCGTTTTAAACCGTTAAAGTGTTTTATTTAAAAATGTTATTTTGGTTTTACGTGACCAAAATAATAAGTTATTAAATAAAAAATTATATGCACATCCAAATTATATGAAAACCCTTTGGTGTTTTTTAAATCTCGGAGAAAGCTCGGGTGATGTTATCTTAACCATCTGCAATGCTTACTTAAAACAACAATAAAGACTCGAACGTCAGTTTAAGTACCCTGTAACAGTAAAGTTCTTCCACATAATATATTCATTGCGTCCAGCTGACCGACACCAAAAAAACCGACATTACAGAGTGATTTACGATGCGGACACAAAAAGCGGATTCTACTTGAATTTGTGAATTTCTTTAGCCTTTGTGAGTTGCATAATGTCGGGCATTGAATGCGGCCCGTCGATTGTTTCGACGAATCGCTGGGCGTCGACGGACGATGATCCGATTTACAATTCGTTCCAACTACACTGTTCACAATAGGCCCGATGTATGGAGCCCGTTGCGTTTGTCGCCACCCGCCGTGTGAATTTCTTTTATGCCGTCCTCTGGGAAGTAGGCGAAATTCCTGCCGATGACATTCTACTGCCCGTGCTTGTGTTTACTATTCACGGACGAATTTCGTTTTCATCAAAGCACCGAAGACTATTGTTTTATATATGACATAATAGTCCAAAAGTATGTATAGTAGCGCTACCATGTCTGTAAATAAACGTTATCAGTTAGAAAGACCAGGACTGCCCCACGCCCCTCACCTTATTTCAACTAATAGAAGCGATAATTACTGTCCCTGGATTTTTTTACAAATCGCTGTCAGCCACAGAAACCGTCGATTGTTTCCAAGTGAAATATGAACTTAACCCGTGTCGTAAGTCAGTAAAACTTTACAATGTCCCTAATTTGAGATTTATAGTCAATGCCGTGATAAATGACCATTGTGAAATACAATATTGCGGAAAAAACAATACGCGCTAAATATCTTGAAGTGCTATTAACTGTTGAGATTGGTCTTTAAATCTTATATATTTGCGATTTTAAATGCCTTCGTGGTTCGAGTCGGGTGTCAAAACGGTGTCTCTGAATAGTCTTTAGTTGTATCATATTATTTTATGCCAGGGAGATATGGAAATACCCCACAACCCAATAATATAATTTAAGTAAGCAAACCGTTTAGGTTTTGGACATTACGCGGAATCAGATACGCGGGTTTAAAGTCGTGGTTTTCCATCTATCGACGTTGGTTCGTGATCTGGGCAAAATTTCGGCATTCCTACTACGAATGAAATGTGTCGATCTTAAGATGGAAATATTTTAGAAAATTGATACATCTTCCATCTGGTACGAATTGAACCCGCAACCTGGCAGTTATCTTTCCTACCGTTGAGCCAACAAGGTCGTAAAATATTAATAATACTGTCCCTGAATAAATTGCATAATAATTGCGTGGTCTTACGTAGGCGCTATGTCTCATCGCATCTAATGGCGCAATAAAAACCTTATCTCGGGAAAAATGAATTTATCTCATTGCAGATTTTTATTACACTGAAACATGCATAAGTATATAAGTACCAAAATACATCTATAAAGATTATTTTACGAGAAGAAATCATTATAGTCATTACAATAAACATTTTGCTTAACATATTATCATGCAATGGTATGGTGTAATGTGTTGCATGGTTTCAAATGCGGGTTTTCTCGATAAAAACCATTTTGAAAGTTGTGAGTAAGTTTTGACTGTTTACGCGAGTACCTATACAATAAGAAACCACTTAACGGTTTCAAACTATATTATTTTTACGATTTAACTCTTCCAAATGGTGGACATGGTCATCTAATGATCGCGAATTTGATAAGAAGATATTTCAGGTTTGCAGCCGTTAAGACAGTTTTATTAATGATGCCAGTAATTAATAGTAGTTATCAGGGGGTAATTGTTATGCATATTGTATACATACATTAAAGAACGCATAAAGTTTTTATCTTATATTTTAAATACAAAAATGATTACACAAACGGAACGTAAACTGCGAGCAGTCGCGTACAAGATCAGTTGTAACTCGTTTGAGGGGATTTATTCCACAGTATTCGTTATACACAAATATATTAGAGCCCGATATTTTATGGTCAGACAGTAAGATAACGCGCCTTAATCCATAGAGATTTTTATCGTCTACTTTGGAATCGGACTCATGCTAACCCAGTGTGGGCAGTGTGCCTCATTTAATGTCGCAATAAAAAATCTTCGACTCGACTTACGTAATCTGTGCCGCGTTTCCGTGTCGAATCGAGACGAGAGATCGATTTGGAAATAATTAAGAAATAAAACGTAGTTTTAAAGTTGTTTGCTTTGTTAAAACTGCGTATACACCTGATAATGATAATTTAATTTCTATGAATATGCTATTCAAATGCCTATGGTGGTTATATAAAAAAAATATCGTAATAGTCAAATGAATTTTATTATATATAAGTTGGTACATATCAAAATGATTTATTTACTAATTAGAT